AAGTGAGTGAATATATGGAGTGTAAAACTGATAAAGCATTTTGTTGTATGCAAGTTTTGCCAGGATTTAGGTGCATGGCATAAAATGATTGAAATAAAATATTCATTTATTTCTTTAACATAGATTTTGTGATATGCCAACAATGTGCTAGACACAACTGATTGAAAAATAAATGCCACATCCCTATGCCTCAGTGAAATCATCATCTAATGGGGACTACAAACACATAAAAAAGGAAAAAAAAAAAAAAGCCTCACTGCGATCGAGTTTATTCCAACTCATAGTAACCCACTTTGGGTTTCCAAGGTGGTAAATCTTTGCAGAAGTAGATTGCCCAGTCTTCCTTCCATGGAGTGGCTGGTGGGTTTGAACTGCCAGCTTTCATGGTTAGCAGTCAAATGCCTTAGGCACTACGCCACCAGAGCTCCTTACGAACACATAAGCCAATAATTATAATCTGGCACATGTAAACATCTGGAAAAGAAGGCTTCCGAGAGGAAATTATACTCAAAGGATGAGTAGTTAAAGTGAAACCCAAGAAAGGGAAAGAGGAGTATAGGCAGAGAGCAAAGCTTGAACAAAGGAGCAGTGGTGAGAAACAGCATCCATGTGGGGAGGGGGAGTATGAAGAGCCACGTGTGTCCTATTAGGAAACTTTAATTTTGTCCTGGAGGATAACAGGGATGTCTACGTAAAGGAGCCTTGGAAGGGTCTTAGGTATAGAAAGGACAGGATCAGGTTTGTGTGTTTGGAAATGAACCATTGTGGTCAGGTTGATTCTGACTCATAGTGACCCAGTAAGGACAGAGAGGAACTGCCCCATGGGGTTTCCAAGGCTGTAAATCTTTATTTACAGCAGACTGCCTTATCTTTCACCTATGAAGCAGCTAGTAAGTTCAAAATGCCGACCTTTCGGTTAATAGCCAAGTGCTTTAACTACTACACTACTCAGGCTCCTTATTTGAACACTAAATCCACTGACATTGAGTTGATTGCAACTCAGCGACCCTTTTACTAATGCAGCCTAAAAGATGGATTTGAGAGGGAACAAGATTGGATGCCAGAGACCAATTATAGACCATTACTGTAGACAAGGTAAGAGATGCTGTGAGCTTGGATTAAAGGAGGGCAGCAAAAGTTGGGCTGGAGAAAAGAAGATACACTCAGGCATTCCTTATGGGTCAAAATTCACAATATGCAGTGATACAGCAACTGTGACAATCAAGGTGAGAACTGAGAAGAGCCAAAAATAATCCTTAGGGTCCTGGCCTGGGAAACTGGGTGAGTGGGAGCCACCCTCTGCAGCAGAGATGGGGAGAAAAAGGTCTGGTTTATGGTGAAGATGATGAGTTTGGCTTGAACTGTGTGGAATTGAAGTCTCCCTGACATCACATTCGAGGTACATAGTCACCTTAACAGATCAGAGGGTGACTGTCATTCTCAAAACTTTTCAAGGATTTCTCTAAAGGAATTTATCAGCTACATAACAAGTCATACATTTTGTAAGCGTAACTCTGTGTTGGAATGTGCATTAGTCCCTGTATTTCATAAAAGAAATAAAAATGATATAATACTTTTTAAAGAGAAAGCCAATCCCTTATTCATTGGGCTTAGTGAATAATGATTTCAGCTATTTCCAAACTCAAACCCTCTCTTAATGATGTAGTCTTTGGATCACTGGGATAGTGGAAAAGATCATGCCTTGAGCCCAGAAGGTGTTTGTTTATAAAATAGCAATCTCACAGAAGTAACAGTAGTGTGGATGGAATTGATACATAGTCTTCCAAAGTCGTTGCACCCAATGACTGTACTTGACCAGATTTCTTTGTTCTCATTTAATGATTAAGAAGCCTCTTTTGTTCCTTTATTTCAAAGAATTCTCCAAGACAGAGGTTATTTTCCTTCTCTCCCAAGACAGGCTTAAAAGTGTAACTTTACTGTATTATCTCTCTTTTGAGAAAATCTGGGCCAAACTAAGTGTTGTGATTTCTCCCACAGGATTTACCTCTAGACCTTTGGCCCAATCTCTGTTCATTTGGCTCTGGAGAGGAACAAGGGGTGAAAATAGTGAAGTCTCTATAGCCAATCATCAAAAGACAGTGTTGTAATAAAATTTAAAATATATCCACTCAAAACCAAGTTCCCCAGGCAGTACACCCCAGTTGGCACAGTGTTTGGGGCAAGAGGACAGATACAGTCTGTACTTCTGGGATTCCTTGTCCTCCAGTGCCACAGAAAAACCCAAAGGCCAGTAATCACTGTACCGAAATGAAACACAAAGTTTAGGCAACACAGAAAATAAATGCCTAGTGACTGGATAACTCCATCAGTCCTTTTCTAGAAACACCAAACTGTCTCTAGTGTGGCCATCTCATAAACCTAACAAGCATATTGGGTCTCCAGCCAACCTCTGACCTAAGGGTGTTTATACATTTTTACTCTTTTGTCCAGTAAGAAATGGCTGTAGAAACCCCCAAGACTATGGCCCTTAGACACCCATCAGGCCTGGAACTGAACTCACACCAGCAGCTCAACTTTCAGCCAAATGATAGGCCGAGAAGTGAACAGTAACACCAGGGAAATACTCACTCCTTAAAACTATCAACAATATGAGATCAAAAGGGCAGTATTTGCCCAGGGATAAAGCTCAGAAGTCAGAAAGGAAAAGGAAGGAAAGCCTAGTGGGAATAGTAAACACAGGGAGAAAGTGGGAAGAGTGCTATTACATTGTGGAGATTGCACTCAATGTCCCAAAACAAAATGTATGTGAATTGTTGCATGGAAAACCACTTTGCTCTGTCAACTTTCACCCAAATCACAATAAAAAGCTTTAAAAAAAAAAAAAAGAAGGAGGAGGGTCCATCAATGGAAAAGAAAAAAAGAAGAATTAGCTATAGCATTTTGTAGGAGCTCTGGTAACATAGTGCCTAAGGCACTTGACAGCTAACCAGAAGGGCGGTTCAAACCCACCAGCCACTCCTCGGAAGGAAGGTTGGGCAATCTACTTCCATAGTGATACTGCCTCAGAAACCCAAGGAGGGGTCACTATGAGGAGGGTCTGACTTGACAGTACATAACAACAGAGCATTATGTGGGAGCTACTTCTACGGCATGACTACAGCTAGCATGTGTAACAAAATGGGTTCTCTCTGACTTTCTGAGTCAGGTCAATTCCCATTACGTCATTCTGCCAGCCATGATACACTGCAGTTATTCCCAGCAGTTATCATGGGCACAGAGACAAGAGAATAGGCTCTTGCAGCTGTGGGCTCACCTCCTCCCCAGGCAGTCCAGCCTTTCCTTCATCTCAAGCGGGGGCTGGCACAAATAGGAAGTGCCATGGGAAGCCAGCAGGAGACAGCATGGTTAGGGTCCCCATGTCTCCACAAGACAGTGAAGGATGCTGAGGTGTTATCGGCATCAACTCGACATTACTAGTCTTTTTAAGCCATTGGTATAAAGCCATGCAAGAGCTTGTATTACTTTCCAGTAGGGAGAACTTTATGCCAAACAAGGTCACCATCACTTGAGCTGATGAATGGAGCAGTCTCATTTATTTCTTTAGTTATTAAATTCTTATGCATTATTACCAAGCATCACTCCTGGCCACAGGGGGTATAAATGGGGAATACCTATAGACCGCACTCCACTGACTAGACCTCTGCCCCTATGGTTATCCAGTCCAGCTCTCTATGGCTACTCTGGGAGCTGCTAGCTCCTTGGATACCCGAGTCCCCTCCACTCTGGCTTCCTTCAGCACCACAGAAGGGCATGCAGAGACACGCAATTTCCTGCTCTGACTCTGACAATCTGTAGGACCCTTGACATGTACCTTAACGTCTTTAAGCTTCCATCCTCTCATGTTTAAAATGGAAATGAAAATTCATTTATCTTGTGGGGTATTTTGGAGATTAACTGAGATAACATACTTAGCACAGTGGCTAGAATAAATACTTAAAGTATAGTAGTATTATTACTATTATTAATAATAATCATTATTATTTTGTCAGTGAGGAGAGACATGGGCTAAGAATGAGACATGTTTCCTCCTCCGTCCTCTCATCAAGGCTGGGGACAGCAGGAGAAGTAGGCAGATGCCCAGAAGAATAAATATGCCAAACTAAGCAATTAGGCATCCAGGCTGGACTTGAAACCAATGGGAGATCATTGTTGTTGTTGTTGTTACGTGCCCTTGAGTCGGATCCGACTCATAGTGATCCCTCCTTGGGTTTCTGAGGCAGTATCACTATGGAAGTAGATTGCCCAACCTTCCTTCTGAGGAGTGGCTGGTGGGTTTGAACAACCAGCCTTCTGATTAGCAGTCAGGTGCCTTAGGCACTACACTACCAGAGCTCCTAATGGGAGATCAGCATATTAGAAATAGCACAACTTCCACACTGAGGTGGTTTCTGGAAGGTGATCATTATCTCCTTATTTTATCATTTTCTCTGCTTATGTTTTCTATATGTTGGATTGGCTGCTGACTTGAACTTAAACAACATTCTTTGTTGAATAGAAATTCTACTCTTTTCCTAGGAAATCAGTGTACCCTTTAACTTTGCCTCCTTTTGCCCTGCTTTTCACCTAATACTTCTAAGTACATCAAATTTCAACTATCACTTCTCCCCAACAAACAAATCTTGCACATACTCATACTTCCCCAGAAAGTGCTTCTTGTAATGGAATGCCTCTACTCTGTAGATTACAATTCCACCATCCCAACTAGTTGATTCCTCTTTGTGAATCTCCTAGCTGCCTCTGTGAGCTTCTTGCTTCCAATTGAGCTGGCTGTGGTTTTACTTAACTTTCTATGGTATTGCATTTTTATTTTTGTTTTATCTTGTTTTCATTTATCCTGAAACAACACAGCCTAGAACTTAATTCCCCTCTGAACTTCCCATTTTACCTAAGTTGATCTTGCTAGTAAGTGGTGAGCATCTCTCCAGCTTTTGAAAAATTCATTTAGCCTCTTTTCTTGTGCATCTCTTCTACTTTGCCAGGTCAAGCTGGGAACTGCCCGACTTGAGGGAAGGGAGAGTAAAAGCCATCAGTGACTCAGATGGGGTGAGCTACCCTTGGTACGGGAACACCACAGAAACTGTGACCCTGGTTGGCCCCACCAACAAGATCTCCAGGTTCTCCGTCAGCATGAATGACAACTTCTATCCCAGTGTGACATGGGCGGTGCCAGTGAGTGACAGCAATGTACCACTGCTTACGAGGATCAAGAGGGACCAAAGTTTCACTACGTGGCTGGTGGCCATGAACACTACTACAAAGGAAAAGATCATCCTGCAGACCATCAAGTGGAGGATGAGGGTGGACATTGAGGTGGACCCTCTTCAGCTCTTGGGGCAGCGGGCCCGGCTGGTGGGCAGGACTCAGCAGGAGCAGCCCCGGATCCTGAGCCGGATGGAACCCATCCCCCCCAACGCACTAGTGAAACCCAATGCCAATGATGCCCAGGTCCTCATGTGGAGGCCCAAGCGTGGGCCACCTCTGGTTGTGATCCCACCTAAGTAGAAGCAGACTGACCTGATAATGTTTGGAGCACATGCTGCTGAAACACGCCGTGAACTTGCCCGGGGTGGCAGGAGCCAAACTGAGTTTCTGAGCCAAAGCAGACCTCTTGGTTTGTCAGCCTTTGCAGCCACTTGTGAAGAGTAGGGCTGCTTCTTGGGTGGTAAAACCATAATCCTTAGGAAAATTTCCTTCCTTTTAGGAGTAAAAGAAATCACTGATTGACAGACTTGCTATGATTACCATGCAAGTAGCCATATTTTGAAGCTGACCAGGATGATTCTTTTATCTGAACTATTGACCGTTTCTTTCCTGTGAGATGCAGGAGATGGAAATTAAATTAAACAGTGCCTGTGGCAAATGCTGCTTCCCAACCATTTAGAAGTGGAAGTGAAAACATCCATGCCAGGTGTTGTAAGACAGCCCCACTGTCTGACTGGAGGGTGGTGGGGAAAGGGGTGAATGAAAGTTGATGGGGAAGAGAATGGGTGATGAGGAAAGTGTTACAAATGTATGCATTTCTTAGTTGATATCAAATCATCCACATACTCATTAGAATGAAAGGAACACTGAGAAAACTCGAGAAATGTTGGCATTTGTGCCACTCTGAGGTGGAACTTCCTGGGAACTGTCCAAGGTGCTGATGTGAATGAAGCCATGGGAACTCTCAGTGGTTCCATCTACCACCCCTTTCCAGGACTTATTTATTCAAAATATTTTTAGTATTGGGGTGCATAGTTCCGGTATTCTTATGTGGTTATGATATTTGAGCCCACATCATATTTTTAGTGAAACCCAAATTGTGATTTTGTTTACAGCTGCTTATTCTATTCACATCACCATCCCTAAATTTGCAAAAAGATCATTGTTTATAAGCCATGAGTCCAAGCAGGGTTTCAGGAACACTCCAACAAATATGAACAGCGTCTTCATTCTTTTTTTTAGCTTCTGAATGATTTGAACACATAAAACACATCCACGTGCACATGCACACACGTGTGCCAGGATGCACATAGCATAATTACTAGCAGATTTACCAGTAGTGCCTATATATGTCATACAGCTTTTATGTATACACAGTACACACGCTGAATATCCATATACATTTATTTTGGCTCCATTTTACAGAAGCTCAACTTTGAATCACTTGAGCATTTGTGAAAAACTGCTTCACATGACTTTATTTCAGAGCTCTTTGATGAAAATCTGAGCTGTTCACATTAAACAAACCAGTATTGCTGAAATCCAACCAAATAAAGATGGGAGACTATGTTTCCTTTAGACAAAAACTTTTTGAAAACTTTTAAAAGAGCTTCCTGTCTTTACAATAAGGATTTTCCAACCCATCCATCTTAAATCACCCCCAAAAAAGGAGCTTTTCCCTTTATTGTCAATAGTGCAAGGATACCCTTTCCAAAAACTCCCCATTCACACTAATCATAAAACTCTTCCAGTGACATTGTGGATTTTATTAGTAGATACCACCAGCCTAATTTCAGAGACAGGGGAACTGAGGTTCAGGGCAATTTATACAGCCCATGGTTTGCCCCAAAGATCTGTCTCCCACCAGAGTTGGGGGAGAAAGAAAATCAGGAGGACTTGTTTGTTATTTTATGTCAAGTGCAGTTGTGCCTAATTACTTTCATGTTCTAAAGACAAAGGATGCTGCTTATTTCCATGAGAGGGTTAATAGATCCACTCCAAGTTATGTAGTGTTAACCTCACAACCCAACCACCAGCTACTCTCTTATAGATTAGTTATTGATGGCAAGCTGCGCTATTTATAACAGCACATTAATGACATGTCAGTGACTCACAGAAGACCTGGAGACATTCCATTTAGAAATAATGCAGCTGCTACATTTGGATTCCTCTGTCTCTTCCCATGCTCCCTTGTTTTTTATGGCACAGGTAGCCCAGAGAGCTCCATGCCTGAAATATAAAGTTGCTTATTTCCCATGCTGACGTTAGAAACAGCATGAATTACATGTCATTATTATGGGATTCTAGAGAATAGATAGGAGGAGCTCTGGTAGCATAGTGGCTAAGACATTTGCCTGCTAACCAGACGGCTGGTGGTTCAAACCCACCAGCCACTCTTTGGAAGGAAGGTTGGGCAATCCTACTTCCATAGTGATACTGCCTCGGAAACCCAAGGAGGGGTCGCTATGAGTCGGGTTTGACTGGACGGCACATAACAACAACAACAACAGAGAATAGATACTGATCCTAGAATCTAATTCACAAAGGACAGTGTTTATCTTTCCTCAGGAATGTCTTAGTGATGCTAAAGAATGAAAAAATCCACAACCATGTGTGCCCCACATTTAAAAAAAAGCACCGGCTATTTCAAAATCTAAAATTGGGGGAAAAAAAAGTTAATGAGAAGGATTATTTATGTTACAAAATGCTACATAAACTTTCTGTCTTCACATTCCCCTTGTCCATTAGAATAAGATATGACTTACACGATTATATTTACACATAACCTAACTTTTTCAAGGGTGTATCCATATAGGCAGTCTCCATGTTATGAACATCCAACTTATGTACAACCCATAGTTATGAACCATTTGTAATGGCTATTATATTAAAATTTTGAGCTACATGCAATGGTTCATAATAAACAATAGGAGCTACTTTGTGATGTGCATCAAAACTTTACATTATTACTGTATTATTATGTAAAATTATAATAATTATTACGGAATTATTATGTTAGAGATGTTTTCGTATATCTGGAAGTGTTTCTTTAATGTTTCCATGCTTGAAAGATATGCTATTTACTGTATACTAAGACAAACATTTGACGGACTAATGTTAGATACAAACCATACCTAACTGCTTGATTTACGTACAAATTTGAATTAAAGACAGGCTTAGAAACTGTATTTCATTCATAGCCTGGAGACTGTATTTATAAAGCAAAGTGCAATGTGCCTAGCTAGATTTTTCACCCCTGAAAACTCACACTTTTGAGAGTTTTCAAAGAAATGACCCCAAGGCAGGCTCTGGGAAATTAAATAATGACAACATTTTGGAAATAGTTGAGAAAGTACTTGTAAGGGTTCAAGCGCAATGTAAATGTACATTATGATTATTGCCAGTGATATTGTTGTAAACTCTACAGTTGGGTCTTTCAATTCTAAAATCATCCTGGCAGAACTCTTGATTGGTCTTCAACCAGTTATTTTAAAGTTATAGTTGTTTTACCAGGAAATGGCCCCTTTCCTTTCTCTGATCCTTGGATCATTACCTTTCAGCTTAGTCAGTATATTGCCAAATGAGAGGTTGTCTAACAAGAGAAGAATTCACCTTGAGACCTCTGTCAGGATCACCACCATCCTGCTATCAGATTCCTTCCCATGAAAGTGCTTAAATCTGATGCCAGATTCCCCTTTTAAGTGGGCTCATTCTGTGCTTTGACTGTTAGTTGGGTGGTCTCAAGACTGTATTTAGATTCTAAACATACACATATACACAGGCACATGCATGCCTTTCTTGGTGGCGTAAGAGTTTTGAATTCATATCTGGAAAAGAGCATTTCATAAGGTCATAGATTCTTAACTGACCTTTGAGATCTCTTAGTCCAGGATCTCAAAGGAAACTGAAGCCCAAATTAATTAGGTCATCTATTCAGAGTCACATACCTGATCAGCAGCAGAGCAAGAGAAGACCCTGGTCTCCTAAATCTCCTATCACTGCACAGTCACACTTACCTGGAACCCATAGTTGTCTCCTTGTCTCTAGCCAGAAAGAACATTGTCATCATCTTATACCATTCACCAAAAACAAATTATTCTATAAACTAAAGACAAAAGAATTCATTCTTTAAAAGAATAGAGGAAAATCATTGTTACTATTATGTCAAAAAAAAAAAAAAAGTAAATGTCTCAGGTTCCTTATATCTGTGACCATTGTTTTGAATTGAATTCTTAATCTAGACTCTGTGCTACATGCACATTGATTTGGTTTGCAGTTTGTGGAAATGTTAGAGACTAGTCTCTACCCATTCATGGACCTTTTTACAACTCCCTCTCTCCTGGTGCTAGAAATCAGATCTCCTAGGTCAAAATCAAGGAGCTCTGGTAGCATAGTGCTTAAGGCACTTGACTGCTGACCAGAAGGCTGGCGGTTCAAACCCACCAGCCACTCCTCGGAAGGAAGGTTGGGCAATCTACTTCCATAGTGATACTGCCTCAGAAACCCAAGGAGGGGTCGCTATGAGTCAGGGCCGACTCAGTGGCACATAACAACACAACAACAACAGGTTAAAATCATGTTTGAAGCAGCAATTGTGAACAGTAATAGAACTATGATTTATATTTTTCAGGCTTCCACATGCAGTCTTATGTGGAGTAATTATGTAACTATGTAATGCTATTGTTAACTGTAATTGTCATTGTTGTTTTTGCTGTGTGCCATCAAACTGATTCTGATTCATAATGACTCTTAAAGGACACAGTAGAACTGCCCCATATAGGGTTTCTAAGACTGTAATCTTTATAGAAGCAGACTACCACATCTTTCTCCCATGGAGCAGCTTGTGGGTTCAAACTGCTGACCTTTTGGTTAACAGCCAAGCACTAAACCCCTTTGCCACCAAGGCTCCTTTTACTCTTGATAAAAACAAACCCATTGCCATTGAGTCGATTCTGACTCATAGCAGTACTATAGGACAGGATAGAACTGGTCTGTAGGGTTTCCAAAGTTATAAATCTATACAGAAGCAGATTGCCACATCTTTCTCCCACAGAGTGAGTGGTGGGTTCGAACCACCGACTTTTCAGTTAGCAGCTGCACACATCAATTGTATGCACTACTCAGGGACAATCCCTGTCATGAGGGCACAAAATAGAAGGAAGGCAAGGAGAATGTCAGTCACTTTCACCTACACAGCCATGTAGTCTCTACTAATCCACTAAGAGGACATATTGAAAATAGGAGAATGAACACCGTTTCCTTACACAGAGAACCTCATAATCCCCAGGGAAGTTGGCCCA